GCGGAAGGTGAGTTCCAGAGCGGCGCCCGGCGGGCCCAGAGCCCAGCTGCAGTTCCGGTCTGGCCCGTACTCGTCTGGGAAGTCCGGGGAGTAGATGACGCCCTGAGGTGCTGTCCAGTTTCCCTGGCAGGAGCCTACGGACACTGTGGGCGGGGCCGGCGGTCAGAACCCGGAGACCAGCGGGCTCCTCCTTCACGGGGCGGGGCTCTCCCCATCTAGGCCCCGCCTCCGCCAGACCAGACGCGTCTTCGGACCCCGCCCCTCCAAGTTCAGTCGGGTCCTCCCCTCCAGCCCTGTCCAACCCCTTCCCAAGGCCCAGCGGTCAAACCATTAATCCCCTCAAGTCTCACCTTCAAACAATTAATTCCTTCCTCAGGTCCCGCCATCAGTCCCAGAGCCCTGCCCCCCAGGTTCAGACCAGTCTCTTTTTCGGACCCGGTCCTCAACCCAATCCCTTAATCAGGCCCCGCCCCCAACCTACCGCCTTCCGTTACCAGATTGCACCCCCTATCGTGGCATCGCCGTCTGAGTCTCACCCAGACTCTTCCCCTCTCCCACGCCCCTCATCACAGCTCACTCCTCACCTTCGTAGATGCCTAGTCGCCCATCGCCGCCGCACAGCTGGCCCGGGTGACCGAAGCAGATCTGGTCACAGTCGGTGGCCGGGGCCGGGCGTCCCCGGGCCAGGTCGCTTTCAGAGCCACAGAAACAGGCATAGCCAGCTTCCACGCCCGCCAACTGGGAGCACAGACTAGGTGACCCCAGAGACAGGGGCTGGGGTGGGGGTAGGGTGGTGGGAGCCAGGGATCGGGGTCAGAAGTAGGAATCGGGCTGGAGGTTCAGAAATCAGTGTCAAGGTTTGGCGTCAGAGATGGAAGTTGATTTGGATCCCGAGGTCAAGGTCAGGGGTCACTGGTCTGGGCATGTGGGCAGTACCTGGTAGCCCTTCATGCGGCAGAAGCGAAGGCAAACTTGGACTGTGAGCTTTGTTGAGGTGCCGCTGGGGCCGCTGAGGGCCGGGGGTGCCCCCGAGTCCACGAAGCAGCCCAGGTACCCAGGCACTGAGGGGGCAGCAGAGTCAAGCTCCCTGTAGTGCCTCCAAAAGCGAACTCTGCCCAGGCAGCCAGGCGCTCCCACCCTTGCCCAGCCGGCTCCACTCACTATGACACGTGGGGATATCGCAGTAGCGCCAGTAGATGCCCTCCTCCGTCTCGGCCACGTAGCACCATGGCTGCACGTCACCGTCTGGGTTACTGTTAGGGGAGAAACTGTTGGGGTCCTACCATCCCAAGAACCACAAATTCCAGGTCCTGACACACAGCTTATTTGCAAAATGGTCACCGTGTGTGTTAAATTCTGGTTTGCCCCACCAGAACGGATGTCAACTGCCGAGTAGATGGTGGGAAGTCATTAAAGGGACCCTGTGTGCTGATTTTAGGTCTTCAACTGTTGCTTGGACGTCATATATGAAGACTTTGAAGCCATTTGTAGTGTTCGTTCCCCACCCAGCCATGTGCCTTGGTCATTCCCTTGTCTTGGAACACTGCTTTAAAGCAGAAGTGATGAGCCCTAACCTTTGTGGCTCAGGAGGGAGGTGTTCTCCTGCTCAGCTCGGTCCCTGCCGCTTCAAACCGCAGCTGTGTCTCTGAACCCCCGATCCCTCTGTCACCGCAAGTAGATGCCTCTCAAAAAAGCTGTACGCCAAGAGACCGTCCCCTCACTCGGGAGTTTAACCCCCTGACTAAGCCCCGCCCTCATGGGCCCCTTGAGTGCCCAGGCCTGACCAGAGGCTTTTCAGAAGTTAGGTTCCTAAGGCCCGACCCGGGTCGGAAAATGTTCTGAGAGCCCTGCTACGCCCCCAGCGCCGGCCAGGCCCTACTCCTCGTTTAGGATCCGCCCTCAGGCCCTCGAGGTGGCCCCCTCTGCCCGCCCTACGGAGACCCCCGCTCCGCCTACGCCAAGGCCCCGGGCCAACGCCTGCAAGGATGCACCCAGCCCCGCCCCAGAGAAAGACCCGCCCCTAGACCCGCCCCTCACCGGCAGAAGTTGTGCGCGCCCAGCCCCCAGCGGCCCTGGGGGTCGCTGGCGCTGCTGTAACTGTGCTGCTGCGTCTGATCCCAGAAGAGGCACGGCCGGCCTGCCCCGCGTGGGCCCGTGCGGTTCTGGTAACCGCGGTAGTCGGCGCCATTCACCTGGAAGCACTCGGACAGGCCTGCACCGCAACAGCGGGGCCTGGGGAGGTCCAGACCCTCTCCCGGCATCCTCACCCCACCCTCCGACGCCAACTCCCGCCCGGCTCCCCAGCCAGTGTCCCTGGCGCCCACGGGGCCCTCGGCTGCTCAGCTGCTTCCACCACCTGCTCTGTCCCCTCCTCAGCCTCGAGACTGGGGTTTCTAGGCGCGGAGGCCGAGGAGGGAGTGGTGACCACTGCCCAGTCGCTGGGCTGGGACTCACCTGGGCTATGCAGGCTCCCCGCTGAGGCCCCGCGTGGCCGTAGCAGCGGGAGGAAGAGTAGGAGGAGGAGGAGGCCCTGCGAGGCCCGTGTCCCCATCGCCCCCAACCAAGGAGAGGTCTTCCTGGCCCTCACACGGCGCTGTCGCCTCTGGGGTCGCTCCGAAGCCTCCCTGGATACCTGGGGGCGTCGTCTTCTGACTGTCTGCCCTGATCTCACTCTGGGAGGCGCTCTCAGTCTGGGGCGGGGGAAATATCTCCCAGGGGTATTTGCCTCCCAGGGTTTCTGGCCCTGAAGGCGTCTCTCTGCCCAGGTCCCTACTGGGAGTCTCCCCAAGGGAGGCGGGGGTGGGGTGTCTCGGGCCAGGGGCGTTCTCCGTCTCTGCCTCTCCTTGCTCGGGGTCGTGCCTCGGCTTCCACACCGCCCCCACCAGCTGCGCCTCCCTCTGAGCCTCCCTCGTCCAGGTCTCTAACGCGCTGTCTCCTGCCCCCCTCGCGTCCCTCCGCGCGTCCCTCCCCCTGGGTCCCTCCCTCCCCACCCCCCCCCAAGGCCGGGAAGCCCCGCCCGAGACTGGAGCGGAGGCAGCAGGTCCAGACGTCTCCCACGCCCGCCCCCATCTCCGGGACCCTCCGTGTCCCGGCGCGCGCCTCCCTGCCCCTCCCCTTCTCAGGGTCGGTGAAGATTCTAGTGGGAGCGTGTGGATAAGGACCGGCCAGGCTGGTGGACAGGACTGTAATGGGGGAGGACCCTCTTCTGAGGCCATGCACCCCCGGGACACCCTGGAGTCTCCAGCTCACAGACACTCTTGAATGAAGTGCACGCACGCACTCCCACTCAGTCACCCATCATTGTGAGGTGCTCATAGGCACCTCACTCAGATCCTCCAGCCCTTCCCACCCCAGGTCCCGACTCCTCTGGCCTGAGGAAGTGCCACTCCCTGCCCCCGCACCCGCCTGACAGGCTGGAATGGTGGACGCTCAGTCCTGGACAGGCAGGGGCAGCTGGTGTCTGGGGAGGAAGGCAGCTGTGCCCCTGGTCCCAGCCTGTCCTCTCCTCTCCTCCCCCTAGGACCCCCAGCCCAGGCTCGCCGGAGCCACATCGCAGCTCGGTGGAATTCCCCAGCGATGCCCCCCACCTGGAGGGGAGGGGAGGGTAGCAGGCCCAGGCAGGCGTGGGGGGAAATTCCCCGCCCCTCCCCCTGGGCCCGACTCCTCTGAGTCCTCTGATCTCCCAGCAGCGCCCGCCGGCTGCCCCCAGGGCTTGGGGGGAGGCCAGCGCAGGTGCGTGGGAGGGCGGGGGCGGGGGCCCGGGAAGGAGATGGGTGGTGGCTGGGGGCCCAGAGCAACCCTGCCCCGCCTAGATGTCTTGCCCCTCAGTCCAGCCTCCCAACCCCCTCACAAGGCCCCTACTAGGCTATCCAGCCTAAAAGGACCTGTCCCCGCCCTGTCAGTACCCGCGCCCCGACCCAGATAGGGGGCTCAGGTGCCGGTGGTGGTGAGGGGACCCGCGAAGACCTCCCATCGAAGTTAGTGCTTCCTGCATGGATTTGGGGGAGGGGTGCTTGTGTCACGCAGCGAGTGCTTTCTAAGGAGTTGGCTTGCTGAGATTGGAAGCCAGAGTCCTAGCTGCCTCTTGGGGGAGCCCTCTCAGCTGCCAGGCTGGCGCTCGATCGCCTCCCAGTTTCCCAGCTCTGCTGAGCACAGGACTGGGAGTCTCACCTGCACAGGCTAGTCCAGCTGGGAGAACCCACCTGACACCCCACCTAAGGAGGAAGCAGTAAAGCCCATCGAACTGGCCCCCTTTCCCCTCCACCTGTGAGTTCTGGGGCTGCCCTGGCATGGCTTCCTCCTAGATTCTGGCCCATGGAGAGCATCCTGGGGTGGCAAGCCTGGGCCATGGCCTGGGTGATGGGGGTGCATGGGGAACCTCATTTCCAAGGGTCACCTGAAGAAAGGGCAAGGTGAGGACAAGGACCACCAGGGTACAGAATGAGGGTCAGTGGAGGGACTGGAGGAAGAACTAACCCCTTTGCTGGCAGGAAGGTGAACCAAAAGGGACTGTCCATCTGGTGCATTGCACTTTGGGCCCCCATTGCCTGGCCGGGTCTCCTGCAAAAGGAATCTTGGGTGAGATGGATGAGGAGCTCAGTTCCAGGACTCAGGCACCAAGGTGAGGGTCAGTAGCTGCACTGCAAGCTCTAGGCCCAGGTGGCTCACTCCAGCTAAGGAAGGCCTGGGCTCTCACCCTCACCACTCCCAACTCCCGGGAGTTCAGAAAGGCTGCCCTGCTGAGAGGCCCACAGTCCCAGTCAAGACTGCCCCCCCCCAGTCTTTCCCCTGCAATGGTACCATTGTTGTGGGAAGGCTGGGTCCCTACTATCTGGCCCTTGCCTACCCCCTGATTGTTTACTCACCCTGTTCCTCCAGCTTCTGCACAAACAGCTGAACTTCATTTCCCTGCTTCCCTTGCATTTGGAGTGACCACAGAAGTGAGTTCTGGCCAACTGTGCATGGGCAGGAGTGATGTCTCTCACCCCTCAATACTCAAGGCAAGGGCCTGGACCAACATTAGCATCACATGGGAGCTTGTTAGAAACGCAGACTCTCACACCCTACCCCAGACCTCCTTTATCAGAACCTGTGTTTAACAAGATCCCCAGGAGCTGAAGTTTGGAAAGCTTATGTAGAACCCTGCTAGGTCTGCCCTCAACAGTCTCAGTTTCTGTCTCCTTCACTCACCAACTGAATGGAGGAGATTCCTAGGGCCTAGAGGAGGGTGGAAGGAGCCTGATTCCCAAGTGACCTTGTAAAAGGTGCCACCAACCAGAAGTATCAGCATATGACTCTGCATGAGTGGAGTCTTAAGCCACTGAGATTGGAGGTTTGCTTGTTACAGCAGCTGACACAATTTACCTTGGCTAATACATCTTCCCACCCTTATCCAGTTCTCTCCAGGGCTGGTTCCTTCTGAGAGCTGGGAGAGGGAATGTTTGACGCCTCTCACTTAGTTTCTGGTGACTTGTTGGCTATCATCGACATTCCTTGGCTTGTAGAAGTCAGTCACCACAGTCTCTGCCTTCGTCTGCATGTGGCGTTCTCCCTGTGTGAGTTTCTGTGTCCAAACTTCTTCTTTTTATAAGGACATCAGTCATATTGGATTTGGGCCCCAACCTACTCCAGTATGACCTCATCTGAACTCATTACATCTGCAATGACCTCTTTCCAAAGAAAGTCATATTCTGAGGTACTAGGGGTTAGGACTTTAGCATATGAATTGGGGGGGGGGACACAATTCAACTCATAACATCTCTTAATCATTTCTTGTCCCTTTTCCATCCTTTTTGCCACCCTAGTCTGGCCACCACTATCTCTTTCTTGGACAAATTCCTCTCTCAAATGAGGTCCAACTCCCCTGAACAGCCCCTCCAGCAACCAGAGTCTTGTCTTTTTTTCTGATGGGAGGAAGCTGAGGGGCCCTTCCAGTGCCCTTGGAGCCCTCAGGGGGACAGTGGGGTGGGCAGATGGGAGAGGCTGAGCTCTGAGGAGCTGTGGTGAGGATGCAGCTGCCCTGTTCTTGGTCTCCAGAGACCCCCCTGGGGTACATCTGGCTTCTGGTCCTTGAACCAGGTAGTCATTCATACCTGACATGAGCACCAGGGAGAAGACACCTGGGGCAGGTGTTGTGTGATGGGGTTAAATTTTAGAAAAAGCCCTCGGTTATCATGGGGATGGATTGCAGAGAGGGGACACTGGAGGCTGCGGTGATCACAAAGGTAAGTGGCTGGGGCTCAAGGTGACTCAGGGCCCCAGGGGTGGGGATGTTTATTAATCCAACGACTGACTAAGGGTCTTCTTTACTTTATGGGTGCCCTGCTGGTGCTATGGACTGAATGTGTATGTCCCTGGCAAACTCACACGTTGAAGCCCTAATCCCAGTGTGACAGTATTAACAGGTGGGGTCTTTGGGAGGTGTTTAGGTCAGGGTAGAGCCCTCATGATGGGTTAGTGCCTTATAAGAAGAGGCCAGAAAGTTAGCTAGGCCAACCCTTCTTCTGCTCCCCATGTAAAGACCCAGTAAGAAGGTGGCCGACTGTAAACTAGGAAAAGTGCTCTCACCAGAACCCGGCCATGCCCACACCCTGATCTCAGACTTTCAGCCTCCAGAACTAAGAAATCAACATTTGTTGTATATTATGGCAGCCTGAGCAGATCAAGATACCCGATTCCCCCAATTCTCCTGGCACCAGAGGAAGGAACCCCATCAGCCTTAGCACACAGGGAAAGAAACTGGCAGAGGCAGTGATTGCTAATGGGTTTGGGGTTTCCTTTTGGGGTGATGAAACGTTCTGGAATAAGACAGTGGTGACAGATGCCCTACTCTGTGAATATACTAATAGCCATTGGATCATACACTTGAGTAGGTGAATTGTATGGTATGTGTATTATATCTCAATAAAGCTGATACTAAAAAAGAAACTAAGCAGGGTGGCACTGGTGGCACTGACAGCTGACAGGATGTAGGGACAGGTGGGGTGGCGTCGAGGATGGCTCTGGGTTTCTGCTTATGTGTGGAGCCTTCAGACATAGGGGACAATAGGAGGACACTTCCCTTCACCACCTATGCTGCTGATGATCATGAGATACCCAGGGTCAAGGTCCTGGAGGCAGCTGGACACACGGGTTTGGTTGCAGAAGGGACAGAAGGGATGCCTGGACTGAGGCTGCAGACTGACAGACCGTAAACCTTGGCAGTGGCTGGGCAGAAAAGGGATCTAGTCTCCAGAACACCAATCACCGTGCTTATAGGTTGGGAGGGGGCCGAGGAGCCCTGGAGGGAAGTCGGTGGAGAACCCCAAAGCCTCCTTCAGGTCTGCAGGGATCAAGAAGGAAGAGTCAGTGCCTGAAGGTGAGCGCTGATATGCACCCGCTGACTTTAGGAAGTCCTTGGTGCCCCCTGCCAGAGCCATCTTGATGGAGGACATGGTGGCAGGAAGAGCTGGGCCAGGACAAGCATTTCAGGGACACTCACCTCATAACCCTGGGGACAGGACTAGAAGCCAGGGCCCTAGAGCTGGCCACTGCTCCCCATTTTTAAAATTCGAGTTCCTCATTGGTGTTTTTACTGCTCATGAATTTTTTATTTCAAATTTCTTAATGAGATTTTGTGCAGTCATCCAAAGGGACACAGAGACACTCTACCAGCTCTGTATGGTGCATACATATGAAATAGAGTTTACTGGGAGAAACTAGTGCAGAGTGGAAACAGGGATGAAGGACATGACCCCACCCACCTGTCATCATCCACAAGGGGCCAGCTTCATGGAGGGGCCTGCCCCTGTGCGCTTTGCTCTGTGATACAGATGGGGCAAGGGACATCTCTTTGGCTCTGGAACCATGGAAGAAGTGGCCATACAAAGGGGAGACTCTGGAGCTCAGTGGCAGGAGGCCTTGGGGCCACCCAAGGCAGCAGCAGCATCCAAATTCATTTCCATCTGGGAGTTCTCAGCCTGAGCAATGTGGACCATCCATCTGCTCTCTAAGGTCAAAGGTGCAGAGAAGAGGAAGAGCTTATGGCCCTGGCTTGGTGCTTCCCCTAATCCTCCTCATGCTGCACCCCAACTTCTGGGTGCCTGGAGCCCAGCCAAGGTGCCAGACCTGGGACTTGGGTTGGGGAGTAGTCAGCTCTGAGCCCCATGGAGGCCCTGCTATGGAAGCTGCAGAACCAGTGACCCTGCAGGTGTTGCAGATGACAATGGCTGCAGGGACTCAGTGCTTCTTGCTGGATACCTCAGGCCTGTGTGGGGTTTCCTGTCATGGGGGACTGAGTGGCGACCCAGCTAGGGGTGGCACAGACTTGACTCTCCTTTGAATCCAGGTGCCTTCCTCTAGGTGTGGCTGCCTTCTGTGGGCGTGCACATCTGTGGGTCTAGGATTGGGGTATATCTGTTCTCACAGGGTCGTGTCTTTGGTGTTGGCCACGGGCTGGTCACTGTCTTGGGGCAATGTGCTTCATGGCAAAGTATCGAGTGTCCACTGCAGGGGCCAGCAGCACAATGGGCCTCTTGGCAGATGGCTGCCTCCTGTCTGGGAGGTGGGCTGTCCATTGCTGAACCATCTCATGACTACTGGCCAGGCTGGTGGGCAAGGGTCCCGTGAAGCCGATAGTTGAGTCAAGAGATGGGCCAATTACCTGCACAGGAAAGCAGCCAGGGTCTTGGGGGTCAAGGTTGTCTGGGGGTGCCATTTCCATTTTAAGCTTGCCCCAGCTTATGGAAACAAGTCAGGGAGGACTCAGGGTGAGTCAGCAGAGGATCAAGGCCTCTCTTCAGCTACATGAGGGCCGGAGAATAGCCAGCAGGTGCTGCACTGGGCTTGGGGCAGACCTCTCAGCAACCTCTCTGAGGACACCCACCCACTGTTAGTCCAGCTGATACGTGAGCCAGGTGACCAGGCGCTGTCCCAGGCATGGAGGTCTCCCCGGAGTGGGTGCCCAACCAAACTCTGTCACCTCCAACCACCTGGCACTGAGACACGTGGAGTGTGTGGTCTCATGGTGCCCATCTGTGGCTGCAAAGGGGATGTGGACACAGCATCTCTACACGGTGAGATATAAAATAGAGTTTATTGCGGGAAATGTATAGGCAGAGGGACAGCGAGCTATCACTGTGCTGTAGCTGGATGGCAGGCTGCAAGGCCAGCTTGCCACGAGACAGGGAGCCTGCACTGTGGGCTTCCTCTGTAATTACAGGGTTGGGGCAAGGAGCCTGCTGTGGAGGATGCAACCCTGTTAGCAAGCAGCAACCTCTGGAGTTCATTGGGGACATCAGCCTGTATCTTCCGGACTGTAGGCTGGCTCCCAGCTGTGCTACTAGACAGGAGAAGGGGATCCTTCTGGTCTGCCTTTCCTCCTGCATCAGGCAAACGTGGGCGACCCAGGGCCCCGCTGGCCTCAGCCACGTAGCCTCTGCCCAGCGCTGGCTCCCTGCAGACGTCGGGCAGGCTCCCACTGCCAGGAACACCACCTCCCGTGGGCATTGTCGACACTGGGTTTAATTTCAGTTGAAAAACAGCAAAAGAAATCCAACAGAGGGTGGAGCTAGGACTCTGGTTTTGGCGTCCTCTGTTCCGGCAGGGACAGCCACGCCCTGGCAGCAGGTGGCCAAGGAGTGCGAAGGCCCACTTGGCACCTGTCCGGAAAACACCTGGGTGGCTGGAACTGGGCAGAGTGGTTCAGCCTGAAGAAGCAAGAACTTCCCCACACCTGCCCCACCTTTGTCTTGAAGGGGCCTCCTCAATGACTTTCGACTTTGTGGAGCCGAAACAGGACCGCACTCAACAAGAATGTCCTTGGCGAAGCTGAAGGCTCTGGACGTGGTGGGTGTTTGCAGCTTGAAGCGACAGAGCAGGGGAGAGGTGTTTTGGTGAAAGATGCTTCTTCAGATCTCTTGGAGGTTGTGGCCTCCCCCACAACACCCCCGCATCACACACAGCTGCAGGCCGCCAGCTCCTGGTGCTTTTCTTGGCCAGCACGGAGACACCATCCTGAGAGACCCCTTGAGGAAACATGAAGGCCATGGATGGATGCTTTGGAAGAGTGACAGAGAGGATTTGTCAAGCGAAATCTACCGGGTGGGAATGCCGGGGCCCTCTGTGGACCCGGAGCATCCTTGACGCTGACAACACTCAAGATTCCTCTGCTGAGCTGGGGAGAAGACTGGCCTCACTGGGACTCACCGTCATGTTTTGTATCTTCCACCTCCCTGATCACAAAGAAACACATATTCATTATACAAACCCAAACATGCTGGTAATAGACAGTAAAGAATGTTAAGATTCCTTTAATTCTTTTTCCCTAAAGATCACCTTCAACTAGATCATTTTTTTAAATTGAATGGTTTATTGATGTAAATAAACAATTGATATACTAGATCATTTTTTCCCCCAGTAACTCATAGTGTATTTATAAAATGAAAAGCTCTCTATCAAAATACACTTTTCACTGGGGAAAAACATCAATAAAACAGACAAATGGATCTACACAAGGTAAAAATTAACTTCAGTAGATTTCATTGTAGGAAGTAGGTCATTTTTATACACACACATATACATACATCATATCAGTTCCTTTAAAATGTGAGACTGCTCCATGACATATTATTTGGGAATTCCTGGCTTTCTACATTCGTATGTCCTGGGATTCACCCAACACCCCTGTGAAGTCCCATCCCCTGCTCCGAAGAAGTTGCCAGGATTTGTACCCTGGCCTTTTCAAGATTCTTTGGCAGAAAACGTAAAGTTCTCCTTTATTACTGTGATGGGTTTAGAAAATGTTTGGCGAATACTTCAGCAAGAGGAGCCTATTTCTCCCCTCGAGTGTGGGCTGGATGTGGTGACTGGCTTCTCAGGGACAGAGTAAAAGCAGGAGTGATGCGGTGTGACATTGGCCATAAAGGTCACTGTGGCTATCTTCCCATTAAAAAAAAAACAGCTTTATTGAGCTGTAATTCACGTGCTGGAGGGTTCACCCATGTAAAGTGTAGAATTCTATGGTTTTTAGTATATTCAGAGAATTGTGCATTCATGACCACCATCATTTTTAGAACATTTTCATCCCTAAAAGAAACTCCATACCCTTTAGCTATTACCCTCCCAACATTCCTCACCCTAGGCAACCACTCATCTACTTTCTATCTCCTTAGATTTGCCTGTTCTAGACATTTCATATAAATGGAATCATACAGTATGTGGTCTCCTGTGTCTGGCTTCTTTCACTGAGCATCATGTTTTTGCAGTTCAGCCATGTTGTAGCATGTGTCAGTGCTTCATTCCTTTTTAATTAAAAAAATTTTTTTTGAAGGGGAGAGGTAATTAGATTGATTGATTGATTGACTGAATGGAGGGACTGGGGATTGAACCCAGGATCTTGTGCATGCTAAGCATACACTCTACTTCTGAGCTATATCCTCCTCCCCATTCCTTTTTATGGCCAAATAATATTTCATTGTATGAATGGACCATGTTTTACTTATTCATTCAACCACTGATGGACACTTTGGGTTGTTTTCACTTTTTTGGCTCTCATGAATAATGTTGATACGAACATTGGTGTACAATTTTGATGGACCCGTGTTTTCAGTTCTCTGGGGTGTGCACCTAGGAGCGGGATTACTGGGTGAACCTACACACTATGTTTAACACTTTGAGGAACTGCCAGACTGTTTCCCAAAGTGGCTGTGCCATTTGACATTCCCACTAAGAGTGTGAGAGGGTTCCAGTTTCTCCACATCCTTACCAACACTTGTGATGGTCTGTCTTTTTAATTCTATGCATCCTAAGTGGGTGTGAAGTGGTATCTTATTGTACTTTTGATTTGCATTTCCTAAGGCTAATGATGCTGGACATCTTTAATTGTGCTTACTGGCCATGTGTACATTCTGAACTTCATAGAAGAAATTAAATCTTTGAGGTAAAAACTGTCTATTCAGATCCTTTGCCCACTTGTTAATTGGGTTATTTATCTTTTTACTGTTGAGTTATAAGAATTCTTTATATATTGTGGATACAAGTCCTTTATCAGATACATGATTTGCACATATTTTCTCTCATTCTTTGGATTGTCTCTTCACTTTCTTGATGGTGTTATTTGAAGCAGTGAAGTTTTTAAATTTGGATGAAGTCCAATGTATCTGTTCTTTGGTTGCTATGACAACATGTGTTAAGTGTTGTCTACCACGGAAGCGTGCCTGAGACTAGGTGTCCAAGGTTTTTATTGGGGGTCAGTCATGCAGGCACATGGTACCTGGGTGACCAGCTGCAGTGACTGAAATTCCAGAATCTCAGAAGAAGAGCAAGTGTTCAGCAAAAATCACATTCTTCGTACAAACAGGTGAGAGTGAACAACAGTTATCATTTGGGGACAGTATCAGCCAAGTCCTGGATGCTGGCTAAAGGTCAACCTTGTAAGCAGGCTGTTCTAAGGACAGAGGTTGCAGGCCTGTTATGTGACGTCTATTCAGTTCATCAGTATCATAATATGATATTGATTTACAGATTTTAAAGCAATCTTGCATTCCTGTCTGAAATCCCATTTGGTCACAGTGTATGATCCTTTTTTATGTTGCTGGGTTCAGTTTGCTGCTATTTTATTGAGAATTTTTGCATCTATATTCCTGAGAGATATTGTTCTATAGTTTTCTTGTGCTGTCTTTGCTTGGTTGTGGTAACAGGGTACTCCCGGCCTTACAGGATGAGTTGCGAAATGTTCCCTCCTCTTCTGTATTTAGGAAGAGCATGTGAAAGATCTTTAAATATATGGTAGAGCTCACCGATGAAGTCATCTGGGCCTGAACTTTTCTTGCTGGGAAGTTTTAACATTACTAACTCAATCTCTATACTTGTTATAAGTCTATTCAGATTTTCTGTTTCTTCTCGAATCAGGTGTGGTAGCTTGTCTTTCTAGGAATTTTTTCATTTCACCTAAGTTACCCAATTTGTTGGCATGCTGTTGTTCACGGCATTTCCTTATAATCTTTTTTTTTTTTGGCCTAGATAAAAGTTTGTTGATTTTGTTGATCCCTTCAAAGAACCAACTTTTGGATTTGTTAGTTTTCTCTCTTGCTTTTCTATTCTCTATTTCATTAGTTTCTATTCTAATATCTATTATTTCCTTCCTTCTGCTTGCTTTATTTAGTTCTTTTTGTAGTGTCAGAACATGTAAGTTTAAGTTATTGATTTGAGATTTTTCTTCTTTTTTATTTTTATTTATTTTTTACTTTCTTTTTGGGGGGCAGGTAATTAGGTTTGTTTGTTTGTTTGTGTTTATTTATTTATTTATTTAATGGTGGTGCTGGGGATTGAACCCAGGACCTTGTGCATGCTAAGCACACGCACTACCACTGAGCTGTACCCTCCCCCCTCTTCTTTTTTAAATGTAAGTGTTCATAGCTATAAGTTTCCCTCTAAGCACTGCTTAGCTGCCTCCCATAAGTTCTGGTGTGCTGTGTCTATACTTCATTCATTTCAAAGTATTTTCTAATTTCCCTTGTGATTTCTTTGAGTCACTGCTAATCTTCAGAAGGGGGTTCTTTAATATTCCATATATTTGTGAGTTTCCCAAATTTCTTTCTGTCATTGACTTCTAATTTCATTCCACTGTGGTCAAACAACATACTTTGTATGATTTCAATCCTTTTAAATTTGTGAGGTCTTATTTTAGGGCCTACGTGTGGTCTGTCCTCGAGAATCTGCCACATGTGCTTGAGAAGCAGATGAATTCTGCTATTGCTGGTGGCCTCCTTCTTGCTCTGCTCTCTCCCTTGGATCATTCATTTTGGGGGAAGATAGCTGTCATGTTTGAGGACACTCAAGCAGCCCACAGAAAGGCCTATAGATGGTGAGGAACAGAGGCCTCCAGCTACAGCCATGTGAGTGAATGGGCCACTGTGGAAGTTTCTTCCAGCCCTACCCAAGCTTTCAGATGGCTATACCCCACTGATATCTTTTCTTCGACCATCTGAGAGACCTTTAGCTGGAACCACCCAGCCCAACTATTCCCAAAATCTTGACCCCCAGACACTGTGAGAGATAGTAGATATTTCTTAGTTTGGGGCACTAAGTTTTGTGGTAATTTGTGACGCAGCAAATACAATTACCCGTAACTCTGTTGGCTTTCAGGAGAACAAGTCTTGCAGCACAGTTGAACTTCGGGCAGAAGCTTTATCTTTTCTGAGGAAAACAAATTGAAAATATGCATTAACAATTCTTTTCTTGTTGAAGTTGCCAGAGGCCAAGGCACACACCTTGTCACGATGCCCTCAAGGCCTTGAGGATGAAGAAAACCAGGCAGAATGACTCCACCGAGGGAGACATTGGGAATTCTGGTTTTCTGATGCCTCAAACTACCTATGCCTGGTAAAATAAGCCATGGGAGCTCCTGAGGCAGTCTTCACCTTGTCACCAAAGATTGGGAGGCAACCAGATCTCAAAGATAGGACACCCTTCACCCTGCCAAAGGCACGCCACAGCTGTTTCTCCTGGGTTAAGCCAAACAGTGGTTTTCTCATGGAATTTTTTTTTAAGCAGAAATCAAGTTTCTTTTGGTTGTTTTATCCAACTTGGATTCATTTCAGTATCTTCTAAGATGTGGCCTTTCATATTGATATACATTAATATGAGACACAAAGTGCTTTGTAAAGACTGGCTTTACATTCTGTTTATCTGAAGGGAACCCATTTTCAGTCTGATTCGGTTAATTATATGCAAAACTTTATGCACACACGCTTGTGTGTCTGTGTGTGTGTGTGAGTACAGTCTTCTGGGGCAGTCTATATTTTTTCATTAGATTTTCAAAACATACTACCATTTGTAAAAAGTTAAGACCCCTTAGGATAAAAGAGAGGAGAGAAAACAGCAGTTCATATGGGAGTTGTTTTAAGGCCAGGACAGATTCAGGTGTCTTTTTATGTTCAGGAGGAGGAGCCAGCAGAGAGGAGAGGCAAAAGCCTCTGGAAAGGCAGAAAGGCCAGGGAACCAAGCTCCTCACATGTGCCTGTCCCCTGAGGTGTCTGAACGCTGGGCTGGCAGAGACCAAGATACCCATGGCTCTTTCCTCCCCCTCCTCTGCCCCCTCACCCCCTTCCGTACCTGGGTCCTCCTGCTGGGCCGGGCTGGGGAGCCGCTCCCGCTGCCTCAGGGCCTCCAGGCCTGCCAGGTCCGGCGAATGGCAGTGGCTGCGCATCACGGTCACCCGCTGGCCCTGGGTGATGGCCCGGCTGCGGCAGCCCAGCCGGGCCTGGTCCCGACACATCCAGTACACCTTCTCCCCAGCCGCCTTCTCCTTCCTGTAGAGGAAGGACTCGTACACCAGGAACCTGCCCCCGAGGGAAGTCCTCAGGAACTCCAGAGGCTGGAGGGCTTCTGGAAGGAACATGATGCATGAGTGGGGTGCCCAGGCAAGGACTTGGAGGCAGGGGACAGAGCCTGAGTGCCAGGGATGGAGACTGTTTCCTTTGTCCCACCAGCCAGCCCCAGCCAGGAAACTGCAGTATCCCTCTTCCCCCACACTGTCCCCCCTGGCATATCCCATGCTGTCCCTGCCCTGTGGTACCTCTCCCCACCTCTGCAGGACCCTGGGGACTGAAGCTCAGTTCACCATGGCCCTGATGCCCTGGAGTGAAGACTGGCTGCCTTTCTGAGGGCTCTGGTGCTACGTGGCAGGCTGGGCCTGCAGCCACCCAAACCCTGAGCTTTCCTGCTGGCCTCCTCTGACCCTACTCCAACTCTGACCTGGCTGGCAAACGCCCCAGGGCAGGGGCTGGGCTGGAATGCTCTGGGAGGCCCGCAGTTGGTCTGGACAGGGCAGCAGGGGCCTCCTGACTGCCTGTCCACCCTCCCCTAGGCCAGCTGGTAACCAATCAAATTCTCCCTTTCTAGACTTTTAGAATGTGAATTGAAGGATCATGAGATGCAGGGATAGGGGTAGCCAAAAGGCACTGAGGGGCAGGGTGGGGAGGGTGAGGAGAGACAGATGCTTCTGAGGTCGGAGCATCGCCCCACAAATGGGTGCCAGGCACTTCCTGGAGCTGCCAATAATGCCACTGTGGCCCCCAGCCCCCCTTTCTCAAGTGGTCTGAGTGGGTTTCTCCCTCCAACGGCCCATCCCACACTAGGACCAGTACCATGAGTGTGAAGCCCAGATGCGGTCCCTACCCTGAGGGAACTCACAGCCCAGAAGGACAGACCAACGTGTGTGGCTGAAGCCCACTGGACATGGGCCACAGATGGACTGTCCCAGCAGGCTGCCTCCAGCCTGTGTTCTGGGCTGTCCCCAGGGGGCTGCTGGGCCAGCAGGGAGACAGGGAGACTGGGATCTGGCACCTGCCCGCCCCATCTCGCCGCACCTGAGCCTTCCCTCTGAGCCGGGCTGGGGAGCTGCTCCCGCTGCCTCAGGGCCTCCAGGCCCCCCAGGTCGGGTGGGTGGCAGTGCCTGCGCATCACCATCACCCGCTGGCCCTGGGTGATGGCCCGGCTGCGGCAGCCCATGCGGGCCTGGTCTCGGCACGTCCAGTACACCTTCTCCCCGGCTGCCTTCTCCCGCCTGTACAGGAAGGACTCGTACACCAGGAAGCTGCCCCCTAGAGGGGTCTTCAGGAACTCTGGGCCTCCTGGGGAGAAATGGGAGAGGGGTCAGGGGAGGGAGAGCCTGGAGCCAGGCCTCTGAGCTGAGGAGTGAGGAAGGGTCGGGGCCTTGTTCTCAGAGCCAAGATCAGCAAGGCTCCTGGAGAGAGACCCACGGACCCCACTCCACACTGCATCCACCTCCTCACAGCCAGACAGCACTGCATCCACCTCCTCACAGCCAGACCAGCCCTGGAGCCCGAGGGACCACAGCCCCTACCCATCTCCCCCAAACCCAGCCTTGCCTGAGCTGCCTGGGGCTCCTTTCCTGAGCCTGGGAGAGAAGGGAGGTGGGAGACTAGTGAGGCGGAGGCCCCTGAAGGCAGAGCTCCATCTCCCCCATCTCTGGGTGCCTGCAGGAAGGCGGTGTCTTATCCAAGGGGCCGGTAGTGGGATGGCACAAGGGCCACTCATCCCTGCTAAGTTGGCAGAATGAGTGGCAGCCCTTTGTGGGACAAGCAATCAGGAGCAAAACAGGAGTTGGGTACAGCCCCTTGTGCTGCAGAAGAATGGACTCCCCCAGAGGGCCAGCCTGGCTGGGGATCTGACCTTAGGGCAGCGAGGGGAGGTGGGGAGGGAGGTGGGGAGGGGCCTGGGTTGCTGCCTGATATATTGAGAGGAGGGACCCGGGAAGTGGCAGTGCCCTTCTGCTCCGAGGAACCCCTTCCCTCTGCCCAGGTGCAGGGACTACACAGGGGAGGTGGAGGCAGACTGGGGAGTCTGCTAAGGCAGCAGCAGTGGCAGCCACGGGGGTGGGGAGTGAGAAGGCCCTGGATGAACTGGGGCCGGGTAGGGGCGAATGGCTGTAGAGGGGCCTGTTTCTGCTCCCCCTACAGTCAATGAAAATGTCCACTGAGGAATGAAAAAGGCACAGGGCACAAGGCCAGAGATTCAGAGAGAAGAGGATCACGCAAAGGGCAGAGATGCTGACCTAGGTTTGAGGCTCAGAAGACAGGGTCATGTGGTCACAGACCTGGCAAACCAAAAGCTCGCCTAGCCTGAAAGGGAAGCCACTGAGGACAAGCAGAGTCCAGTGGCCAAACCCAGGGAGGCCCAAGGTCCCTCTGAGGGTGGGGTCCCGGGCAGGCCACAAACAGGGGGATTGGTGAGGGTTGTCTGTACGAAGAGCAGTAAAATAGGTGCCCGCACTTGGGAGAAGAAGCGTTTGTGGGGAGGGAGGGAGGAGGAAGTCTGCACCTGGAATCTGACAGGTCCCGCCCGGTTTCCCCACCCAAGTCCCTGGAGGCTGGCAGCCAGGCTGAGACCACCCTCGCGGGAGGTTCATCCTGGGGCACTGAGCAGCCTGCAGACCCACAGAGCTAAGGCCTGTGAGTAAGCTGAGTGGGTGCCCACACACAGAGCCAGTCAGTCGCACCTTAAGCCTGGCAGATGGCCAAGGACCACCAGACGGTCAAGAGAAGCTTTACCCTGAGAGGCCGAGACCAGAGAAGCCCACAGAGAAAAAGGAATTGGAGAAAACAAGGCTGCTGCCAGAGGCTGGAAGGTGGGGCCGCTGTGCTTCCAGTCGATGGAATGCAAAGGAATTCAAATACAAGAGCGAAAGTTAAAAATTAAATAGAAGGACTGGACAGCCAAATCGAGGAAATATCAGACAGGTGTGCCAGGAAGAGCGACATCTGACCAACAAAGACACAAAATGGAGAGTGGAGAGTCATCTAAGAACACGAGAACATTTCCATAAGTGAAGAACAGGACTTCTTGGCTTGAAAAGGCCTCAAGTGCCCCCAGCAAAACCACGTACCCCAGGTTTGGAGACGCGGCCCTACATCTTCAAAGAGCCCCCCGCCTGTGTAAGACCAGTCCTCAGAAAGCTGCGGTTATTCGAGCACAGAGATTACACAACCGCGGAAGAGGATTTGCAACCCGGAGCCACGAACAGCCACACCTCCACCAAGATGGCTTCAGATCCACGGTCTCTGTGGTGTAGCCTCCAGAGAATCGCTCGGAAACCGACCAGAGGAGGGACTTGGAAAGACAAGGGAGTAAACCAGGCGAGATAAAGATGGTCCAGACATGAGGGTCCAGCCAAACGGACACCCCAGACATGGGGGCGGGGCCCAGTGAGGGGGCGGGGCCGGGCCGGGGCCCGTGGAGAGGGGCGAGGCGGCGCAGGAGCAAAATGCAGAGCCCTCTGGGGCAAGCGGTGTGCTGGCCTGCAAGGAAGGGAAGCGACGGACGCGCAGAAAACCAGGCCAACAAATAAGGCAGCAAAGAAGACAGAGGGCTGCGTGAGGAAGGACAGGACGCTGCGGAGTGTTCCCGCGCCACCGCGGACAGACTGACAGAACAGAATGGAGACAAAAAAGCGCAAAATCTGCGCGGAGTGGAAGGGGCAGCGAGTAATGGTTGAGTTTTTCTCTGGCCAGAAGGCAACAGGCAACTTGGAGATTGAAAAAAAAAAATCCAACTGATCGCGGTAGAAGCACGCTTTAGGGAATAGGACAGCAGATGCCCTAAGAAACAACGTAAGGAGCAAGTGCAGGATGGTGATTCGGTATGGGGGTTGGGGGTGAGGATGGGGGGGGTACAAATCATCCCGTGAACACAGAAGTTACATGGAAATGAAATAAAGAGAGATTCAGAAGGAAATAAAAACAGAGGTCTCAAGTTTGAGAGTTTTAGGTCCAAAAAGGCTCGAAGGTGACTCAGATGACTCAGGAATAAAGTATAAGACTGGGAATCTGCAAAGAGGCAAATGTTTCAGACGACGTGAGCCTTTGCTGGGCAAGTAGAGAGGCAGGGCGGAGGCGGCTCTCAGCAAGAGGAGGGCGGTAATATGCCTGTTATTGTCAAAACACTGGCACTGTGAAGCCGACAGAGATAAAAAGAGGGGGGCTGGGACCCTGTTCATAGAGCCCTTAGGGACCATGGTAGATGCTTATGGAGAACAGCTGAAGAAGAGAAGTCAATCACAGGAAAATGTCACTTGCAGCCCTTAAACTGCTTCTATAGGATGTGTTTTTCACTGGGCACTGTGTCACCCACTCACACTGGAAAAATGAGAAGCCGGGTTGTACAATTAGTTTTGTCTATGAATTTTACAAATTCTTGAGAAAAAAGAAGAAGGAGGGGGAGCCAGGGTTTATTAGGTGCTGCAGAGATGTCAGAGCAGTAGGGTGAGGACCACCCTCCGAGAGAGACTGAACAGGTGATGCCCTCAGTCACCCCACTGACCAGGAGGAGGAGGTGGGGAAAGGGAAGAGGGAGAGGCGGACCTACAACCCCTTCCAGAGGGTTCCCAGTAAGAATGGGGAGGATGCTTGCTGGAGGTCAAGTGGGAAAGGTGGGCAGTCTGGGTACCCTGCCCCTACCCGATCTGGCCTACCTGGGCTCCCTCGCTGGGCTGTACCAGGGCGTTTCTCCCGCTGCCTCAGGGCCTCTAGGCCTGCCAGGTCAGGTGGATGGCAGTGGCCACGCATCACGGTTACCCGCTGGCCCTGGGTGATGGCCCGGCTGCGGCAGCCCATGCGGGCCTGGTCCCGGCATGTCCAGTACATCTTCTCCCCGGCTGCCTTCTCCCGCCTGTACAGGAAGGACTCGTACACCAGGAAGCTGCCCCCTAGAGGGGTCTTCAGGAACTCTGGGCCTCCTGGGAAGAAATGGGAGTGTGGCTGGGGGGAGGGAGGAGGAACTTGGCGCCTGAGCAGGAGCAGGGCCTGGATCTGACCCAGGCCTGGTGTTACCCCCCACCCCCACCTCCTGGGAATTCAGGGAGCAAGACTTGAGGGGCAGAGCTCTGGGCCAGTAGGTGTGGGGGACTCACCCGGGTCCTCGTCCTGGTCCTGGTCTTCGGCCAGGGTTCCCTGCAGGTCTTGGGGCTGGGCCAGAAGGCCCTGATCTTTGACCTTTGGACGCTTTCTGGGCCGGGGCCTGGTGAGAGTCAGGGTGCTGGGCCCCCGGCGGTAAAGCAGGCTGTCCACACCTTGGAGCAGCTTGTCCACCTGGCCCCCGGGACCACCTGGCCTGGCCTGCAGGGTCTCCATGGCTTTCTCCTGCTGCCGCCGGGCCTCCAGGCCCTCCACGTCGGGCGGGTGGCAGTGGCCACGCATCACGGTCACCCTCTGGCCCTGGGTGATGGCCCGGCTGCGGCAGCTGTGCAGTGTGTGGTCCCGGCACGTCCAGTACACCTTGTCCCCCACAGCCTTCTCCCGCTTGTACAGGAAGGACTCGTGCACTAGGAAGCTGCCCCCATAGCAGGTCCTCAGGAACTCCAGGGGCCTGGACTCTCCTAGGGAGGGAATCGGGGAGGAGGCCAGGGAGGTGCGGGCTGGTGGGGCTTTGCTCCTTTATGCTGACACTTAACGTGGCTCCCCTGAGCTGCGTGTTGGTGGAGGGGGACCAGTGCATCCCCACTGACTGCCCACCTAGAGGCCCAAGGAGGAAGTGCATTTCCTCTCCTGGTGGCCTGTGAGGAGGCCACTCCACGTCCAAGGTCACACACTGGGAAGGGACAAACTAGCTCTGATTCCACAGCCTGTGTGCTCAGTCACTCCTGGCCATACTTTTTCTTAGTTTGTTTGAAAATTTTATCTAATTTTTGAATAACACATGCACATGCCATAAAATGAAATGGGACCAAAGGAGACACAGGGAAAGCCAAGCTTCCCTCTTCCTCCCCCCACCCTAGGTACCCAGCACAGCAGCTGCCTTAAAGCCCTAAATCCCTGAATCCTTTCCAGGTCAGGAGGCACCTAGCCTTTGGGACCAAGCCCACTTCCCAGTTACTGGTAATAAAAATTGCTGTGGACACTCCATCTACCAGTTACTCAGCAGTAACACATGCTGGACCACGGCTGAGCACTTCCCACACATCACTGTCCAATCTCCCTAATAGCTAGGCTATCACACATCTTAGAAGAAATCTCCTGAAAGTGCAGAACTTTTAGCAAACCTTCTGAGGCTGCCCAGTATGAGAGCTAGGGCTGGAGCTTGATCCTGAGAGGCAAAGCTCAAGTCTCCCACTAGGCCGACCTTCCCAAAATTCTAAGGTTCAGAATCACCTGAGGCTCATAAAACTCCAGTTTCTACATCAGGAAGTTCCAAAGGGGCCTGGGCCTCCTGGTTCTGAGCACTAGTTCTGGCCCATGGCCTTAATTAATACTGGGACACATTTATATTTTTAAAAGCTGTTCTGAGAGCACATTAAAAAATCACATGAGACCCCACATTTCTCTTCGGCCTGAAAGTAGAGCCAGGGTGGGGGGACTCACCAGTCCCCAGCGTCGGGCGTTTCTTGGGAGGCAAGCTCAGCAGTGACAGGGCTCGGAGCCTCTCATCCTCCTCAGGGGCTGGCTTGCTCAGCACCAGCCCCGGGGTGGGCTCTGGCTCCTCTGGGCACAGCCACGGGCCCACTCCCTCCAGCAGCTCCTCCGCTTGGCAGCCAGGGCCCTGGGGACCCCCCAGGCCATCCGGCAGGGCCGGGCTGGGCAGCTTCTGTCTCTGGCGCCGGGCCTCCAGGCCCTCCTCGTCGGGTGGGTGGCAGTGGCCCCGCATTATGGTGGCCCTCGGGCCACGGGTGATGGCCCGGCCCCGGCAGCCCAACTCGGTGTGCTCACGGCATTTCCAGTACACCTTGTCCCCCACGGCTTTCTCCTGCTTGTACAGAAAGGACTCCAGCACCAGCAGTCGGCCACCAAATGGGGTCTTCAGGAACTCCAGGGGCTTGGGGGCTGCTGAAGGCAAGGGGGGGCCAGATCAGCTGACACAAAACAAGGCTGGAGGCCCAAGGCATGGATGGGAACACAGGGTTGGGAGTACACAGGATGATGTCTTATGATCATCACACCAGCCTGGGACAAGGCCAAGGAGGACCTGCTCAGAGCAGGGAAGGGATGGCCAAGGCCACCTCGCTGGAAAGGGGGTTGCTCAGGACCCCAGTCTGAGCACACAGGACCACAAAGGTGGCCGGGAAGCAGCAGCCGGCCCGGAACTCACCTGTGTCTGGTTTGCTGTGTTTCTGTTCGGCGACCTGGGGACTTGGCTGGACTGCCCCTCCCTGTTCCTCTACTTGCAGGATCTGAGGGGTCCCAGCCAAGGTGTCAGGCCCAGACATCTCCAGGGATAAGACACAGTGCACTCCTTTGGGCTGGGAGTCCACTCCATCCTCATTCTCAGTGGAAGCCGCCAGCAAGACCAGTTTGGAGAACTCCTTGGGTTTTGTGGGGGCTGTGGGGACGACATCTGCGCCCATCTCAGGGGACTCAGGGGAGGGCTCCTGGCCGGCCTTCACGCTCTCACCTTCCTGTTCACTGGGCTCAGGCAGGGGCATCCCGGGACTGATGGCCTGGCCCTTAGGCCATGCTCAGGCTCCAGCTGATGGATTTCTCCTCCACCTCCTCGGCGAGGAACCTGGCAGTCCAGGGGCTCTGTCCTAAGGGAGGAGGGAAAATCCCATCAGTGGAGGTGCCCTTGCGTCTGGGTTCAGGAAAATAGATCTAGGGTAGTGGTCAGGGCACCAGGGGCTGAGAGGTGGGGGAGGACCTGAACGGAGCTAGAGAATTCTAGGCCAGTGCATCTGCTCTCTTGGCTGCCTTGGGTCTGGCACCTCCCTGACCAAACCTCTTTCTCTGTCTGTAAAATGTGCCAAATACAGGGTTCTCAAGGGGCTGCTGGGGTGACCAAGGTACTGACAGCTGTGAGTTACTCTGAGCCTGGCCCTGGGAGGCGGGACTCTCTGGATTCACAACTACATCCAGCCCCCATCCCAGGCCAGAGGATCACGGGATGCCAAGGCCCCATGAGGGCAGCGACCTTGTCCGAGTTGGTGCTGGCGCTGCCTCAGCTGAGTGGGTACAGGGCTGTAGGGGTGTCCAGGGAATCCGTGGTCGCTGAAGGCTCCCTGACTTCTGGTCTGGAGAAGCAAAAAGTATGGATTCCAGGGGCAGGGCTGGCCTGGAGACCCGGGCCCTGGGGCATCAGTGTGGGGTTTGTCTTCTCGGGGACTGGATGGTGGGTGCATGTCAGGGTCTTTCCCACCTCTCAGCAATAGCCCAGAAACAGCCTATGGCCTTTCCTCACGTTTCAGTTTTCCAGCCTGTGAGCTGTCACCCCTACCCCAAGTTCTGCGTTTCCAATACCGCCGCCCTTCACTTCTGTTCTGACAGTTTGTGGCCTGGGGCCCACATTCAGCTCCCCAAGGCCTGTCAGTCCAAGCGCGGGGCCCCTAGGTCCTCGTAGACACACAGCCAAGGCTGAAGGCCAGAAGGGCGCCACGTCCCCTGCAACTTCTCCCCAACACCCATGCCCTACACGCCCGCTCAGCCCCGGGCAGCAGCGAATCCCTGTCCTGAGGTGCGAGACTCATGGAAATTCAGGTAACGGGACACTTCCAGCGTTATCCTTCTCGTCCTGGTCCGGCCTCTGGACAACCCAACCTCTGCTCCTCTTGTGCGGTCCTTCCCGGTCCTCCCCATTCCGCCCCACAGGACGACATGGCGGTACAGGGGACTTGGGGGCCACCGCAGTAAGACAGCGCCTGCGCCTTCGCAGGCAGAGCCGCTCGGGCAGGAAAGGGTTACGGGGAGGGCCCGCCCTCAGGCCACCCCGCCCTCGCACGCTGATTGGCCCCGGCGCTCACCCTCCGGTAGCCCGCCTCCGGGGCTGCTGTGCTCCGGTCCCAGGGCAAAGGAACGCGGGCTCGATTCCTTAACCTCCCTGCGTCCTCCATCGACAGGGCGTAAGGGTGCGGAGAAGCCGGCCCTCCCTTCCACAGAAGGCCTTTCAGACAACTCAGGCCACCAAAACGTTGCGGTCACTGTTCACCCAGCACGCACATTCCTACAGGACCTGGCCGTCGGTCCCTGCCTTGCAACGGACAGGAGTGGAGGCTGCAGGGACCCCTACACACCAATCGCCTCAGTCTCAGACGACCAGAAGCTGAAACCTGGCCTCCTCCAGACCAGCGAGGGTTGGTATGACCAACCATGACCAGCGCAGGTTGGCATGACAAATAGCCCCCACGATTCCCGTGGAACTGTACCCAGAGTCATGGGTAACCTGAGTCAGGAGACAGTGTAATTTTCTCAACTAAAATTTGTTTAAAAGGCTTAAGGTATCCATATACCTCAAGGGATATGGGAAAAGTTCCAGTACAACAAAAGACCTTGAACTGTGGCTGACCACAGGCTGTGTAAAGTCATGGGTACTCACATTGGGCTAAAATTTAGATTTGATTGACAGTTCCCATTCTCAACCACATAAGGGACTTAACGTGTTGATTGTTTACTGACCACAAATCCTTCCATAAAGTATAATGGCTCCTTTGCAATGTGGCCTTGAATCTGGATTGGTCTTCAGCCCAGATTGGTCACTTGCTGTAACTAATAGAGTATGACAGAAGCCCACTGTGGGGGTTTGGAAGCCCCCACCCTTATGGACATGACCCTGAGACTCCAGGGAAGGAAACTGAATGAGAGGCCACATGTAGGGGATGGAGGTGCTGCGGGGCATGGAGAGAAACCATCTGCACTGACCAGCTCAGTAGACCCCTTAGCTGTTTGTAGCCACAAGAAGGAGCCTAGGGGAACCAGCCCAGGCACCCCATGGAAACCTGATCAATAATAAACTACTGTTATTTTAAGCCAGCAAGATCATGGCTCATTTGTTACACAGCAGTAATAGACATTCTTGGCAAGTAACTGAACCCAATAGGTTTTGGCTTTTTGATAGATGGAATAATACTTAATGGTTGTGAAATATCCCATATCAAAATGATCGTGTTTAAAGGGCTGGTAACCCAGTGACAGGAACATAGACATTAAGTATAAAGGACAGCAAATGAGCAAATGAGAGCTGCATATTTTAAAAGTCTGTAACATGAAATAAGCCAGACACAAAAGGACAAACGCTGTGAGATTCCACTTACATGATGTAGCTAGAGTAATCAAATTCACAGAGAGAGAAATTCAGATGGTAGTTGCGAGGGGCTGGGGAGGAGGAGTGGGGAGTATTTAATGGATATGCTGTTACAGTTTGGGATGATGAAAAGATGGACAGTGGTGATGGTTGCACAATGATTTGAAGGTACTTAATGCCACAGAACTGTACACTAAAAATGATTAACATGGTATATTTTTTCTGTATATTTTACCACACGTGCAAAAAAAAAAAAATCTGTAACACACTACATTTAGTAATGTCCCATCTACCTAACACTGGTGAATGAGATTCTGCATACAATGCAGATTTCTGATTATCCGTCCATGATTCAGAATTTTACAGTTTTTTAAAAATCTCTTTCATGATTTCCACTGAGGATAGGTGCTTCATAAGCTCTTATGACTCTTCACTGTCTGGATGAAGAAAGCATACAAATTATATCCTGATTTGGAAAATGAAGTGTCTCCATCCAGTTCCCTTGAGTTCCCCTCCCCTTCTCTCTCTGGGACCCCTTCTCCATCATTCATATCCTGCTGTCTCTGGTCTCCAAACCTCTCTGCCTTCTCTGATTCTTTGCATTTAGGGTTCTCAGGTCTCAAGTTTCTTAGGTCTCCTGTATCCCAAAGCAAAACCTACCAAAAATCTCTCCTTCCCTCAACAGTTGGACTTTGCAAGAACAGTCTAAACTACCTCCTTCTCACCCAGACTGCCTGGCAGATGTCCCCCCAACTCTGCACACGCCACTCTCCTCTTTGGCCACCATCCAGGATCAGCACCAGCTGGGTTGATCCATAACCCATGTTTCCTTCCAAAACACCTGCTCTGGCCTGTATGTGGTCTATCCATACAATGGAATTTATTCTGCTTTAAAAAGGAATGAAGTTCTGATACATGTTACAGGGTGGATGAACCTTGAAGACGGTACATTCAGTGAAGGATGCCTGACACAAAAGACAGCATGTTGTCTGATTCCACTTATGTAAGATGTCCAGTACAGGCACATCCATAGAGACAGAAAGTAGATTAGTGTACTAACTACTGTATATAAACAGATACACAACAAGGTCCTACTGTATAGCACAGGAAACTATATTTAATGCTTTGTAATGGCCTATGATGAAAAAGAATATCAAAAGAAATGTGTATATATATATGTATAACTGAATCACTATGCTGTACACCAAAAATTAACACAACATTGTAAATCGACTATACTTCAATAAAAAATTTTTTTAAAAAGTAGATTAGTGGTTGTCAGAAGCTGGAGGGGAGGGAGGGGGAGATTAGGGAGTGACACTAAGAGATGTGGGGTTTCTTTTTGGGATAATGAAAACAGAAAGTTGATTGTGGTGATTGTTGCACAACTCTTGTGAATACACTAAAAACACTGAATTATACCCTGTAGATCAGGGGACTGTATGGTATATGAAACATATCTCAATAAAGTTGTTTTTAAAAAATCCTTATAGATATGACTCACATCCCCAGAGTCACTCGGATAAAAAACAGTTTTCTACACCATAAACAGGCTTCTCACTCCTGGGCTTGGTTTTCTCACCAAAGGAGAGGGGTGGCATGGATTATATATTGAGATATTTTGTAAGTTTCTAGTATTATATTGTAAAAACTATATAGAAAACATTTTTAAAATGTTAAGAACATAATACTCCTAAATCACCCAGGATCCTGCCCCTCGAATTTTTGTATTAGCCCCTTTGGTTTACACTTAAATTTCTGTTGCACACATGTGTGTTCAATATGGTGTTTGTTATCTTATTCCTCTTTAAAGTGGGAAGCCCCCACCTGCAGGCCAGATGGAGCCCTAGTAAAGGGCATTACGTAATGCAGGCTCCTAACACGAACGCAGATCTAAATCCTCAGGAGCAATACTATAGCGGGCCACAAGATGGCGATGTTGTCCCTTGAAACGTACATACAGCAATCATCCTTGGTAAAATTAAATGCACCACAATGGTTCCAAAACAAGAATTTGGGAGTTTTTCCCTATCGGACAAATAATTCAAGAAGACTTCCAAAAAACGCTTGTATTTACAAAATATATTAGGTAGAAAGCAAAATCCAATTAACAAAGACTAAATTTAAAAAGAAAAAGAAAAAACAAAAGACCAAAATACCACTTGGACACTGACACAACCTCTAGACCTCAATCCACCTCATTTCTTCTGTCTCTTCTCCACTCTGATCACATTTGTTATTTATCAACTAATTTTATTTTATATATTTGTAGCTAAAAAAAAACCCTTAAATAACTAGGAGGAAACATCTCAAAAGGTTAAAAGTTGTTTTAAAAAAAAGCGATTTATTTTTTTCCTTAAATTTCTTTTGTTTTCTGAAAATTGTTTTACAGTGTGTATGAACTCTTTACAGTGGGAAAGTATTAACCTTTTTTTTTTTTTTCAAAAAAACACTTTAAAGATAAGCTGCATCTCCTTGCTTGATGATTTTTTTCTTTAACTCCATAACTCCCTGGAAAAGCAGGGATTCCATTCCTATGCAACATGTATCACCCAAGAAAACAAAGAGTAATACAGACTATGGGACAGAGAAAGGAATGAAAGTCAAGTACTTTACAACCTCTGTTGTGGGACTTGCAGAACCTCAAAGATATTTCCCCCAAGATACTTATTAATTACAGGGGGAAAGGTAATGACTTGACAGTGGAGACACCCCACAGGCACACCCTTAAGTGCTCAAAGTCAACTTCACCAGTAATAAAACACATCAACACTGTGACCTCCTTAATAAATGCACTGAGGAGGACACAACATCATCTTTGTTCTTCCTGCCCAGAAGGCACACCCCTATTCTAATCAGACAAGCCACATGGAGGGACATTCTACAAAACAACTGACCAGGACACTTCAAAAGTGTCACGGTCATTGAAGACAAGGGAAGGCTGAGGTCTTGTCACAGACTGGAGGGGACCAGGGAGACACAAGGACTCAATGCGATGTGGGATCCTGGAACAGAAAAAGGACACAAGGCGGAAAGCTGGTGAAATCTGAATAAGGTCAAGAGTTTAGGTTAATGGTATTGTATCGATGTTGCTTTACTGGATTTGATCACTGCACAACGTTAGGCAAGATGCTGACATTCAGGGAGACTTAGTGATGGGTATATGGGAATTCTTTGCACTATTTTTGCAGTTTTTTGAAAAGTCTAAAATTAACTCAAAATAAAAGGTTTTCAAAAACCCAAGTTTTCAAAATGGAAGTTGACAGAGAAAATAAGTGACCCAGAGGTGTCCTGGGTAGAAGGGGGAGAGAGGGGAGAGGGGAGAGGGGAAGGGACAAGAGAACATCTGCTCAGAGCCATGTGGTTGGTCCTGGAGCTGGGAGAACCAGGAACAAAAATCCTATGGTGGCAGCCTGTACCTTCCATACAGGAACTCAACAATCTCCCTTCCAAGTGCCACCATCATCCCTGCTCTGCTTCTGGGGAAACTGAGGCTCAGACCTGAAGTGAGTGGCCCAAAGGTAATGAGAGTCCGGACTCCAACCCAGGCCCAGCTGGTCCAGAGCTAATGGGGTGCCTCCTCTGCCCTGAGTAGCTGAGGCTTCAAGTAAGACGGGCCAGTTGCAGAGCTGCAGTCAGGCCTTGAGTCCGTCATCAGCTGCAGTGATCGGCCCTCCTAACTAGCTAGTTGATGGTTTGGGTCAGTGGCTCCCAGCTGACCTGGTCAATGGGAGGCACCCTGGGAGACGGGAGGGTGGATGGAGAGCAAAGAGGGTGTCCTCGAAGCAACCTGCCTGGCGTGGCTCCACTCGCGCTGTCTATTCCAGCTTTGCTGGGTCCCCTCACCCAGCTGTGGTGGCTGTGTCCAGCCTCTGCTAATCCCCAGGCTGCTCACCACTTTCTGTTGGGCTTCTCAGCTCTTCCACCACCAGGCAGAGCAATGAAATTACCAGTTGAAATCTCACAGTAGTTTCTTTTCTCCAGTTGGATTCTCATCACACATGCTTCAGAGTCTAAAGGATTATAATCACAACATTTCCTATTCACCGAATACCAACGAGGCACCTGCACCAGGCTACGGCCTGGAAGGCATTATTTCATCTTATCTTCCAAATGCCTTCATCAGTTAGATCCACTGTTCTCTCATTTACAGAGGAGGAACCCAAGGCTTAATCTTAGGTTCCAGTGACCAAGATCCAGGCCACTAAAGGGCAGAGTCAGCCTTCAAGCCTCCTGTGTCTGTTTTCAGGGCTTAAAATCTTAAAATAAATTTAATCTTTATTTTCAAAGTGAGGATTCTGACCTATAGTTATCAATGTAGCGGGTTAAGACTGGTGGTTCTTAGTCAGGGTGATCTGAGCCCCCAGGCAACATTTGGCTATGTCAGGAGACATTTTTAGTTGTTGCAACTGGGGGGCAGGACACGCTACTGGCATCTGAGGGGTGGGGGACAAGGAAGCTGCTCAACGTCCCATGGTGCCCACCACTCCCACAAGGAAGGATCTGGTCCAAAACAGCAGCAGGACCAAGGTTAAGAAACCCGGCTTAAGAGCAGTATTTTAAAAAATGAAACAGAACATAAAGAGCGCACCCACAGATGAAGTTAAGTACAATGTTCACGAAACTTTTATTTCAGTTATTTGCATATGGAATTCTCGTCTCCATTAAGAATTACCCAGGACACTTGATAAAAATGCAGATGCCTGGATTTCTCATCTGAAATTCTGCCGGCGGGTCTAGAGCAGAATTCAAGATTCTGGATTTTTAACAAGTACCCCGTGAGGCTCTCGTACTGGTGGATCATGAGCTCTGCTCTGAGAAACACTGGAACAGACGTTAGGAAGCCCAAAGCTAAGTGATTAACCTAAGAAGGATTTGAGGTTTTCTTTGTACCAGCACCACATGAAGTGTTTTACATGCATTATCGCATTGAATCTGTCACATCCTGTAGGTTTCCTCATCAAGGTGTTAAATAAAATCAGTACCATTTATTTTATATCAGCGGGAGAGTCATGACTGCATCTTTCTAAAACGATCCTTTAACAATTTAACAAGTTGCAGACACATTAAGGTATTTGGGGGACCTCAAGGAGGGTGGACTTTGCCCAAATTTTTAAGCAGTACAGGTGAAATCTGGGGGCGAGAGCTTGCTGGACATGGCTTTAGCACCTAGGAATAATAAATATCAGACTTTAAAAAATCGAATCTGAGATTCCTTATGGAGACTTCCAGCAAAGCAAATTCAAGAAGGCCCAGGAAGTGAATTAACGTGCCTGCCACATCTGTGTAAATAGTCAGGCCAAATCTCATGGGACCAGCCTCATATCAACATAAAAAATGACTTTCATTGAGGGGGGAGGGTATAGCTCAGTGGTAGAGTGCATACTTAGCATGCATGGAGGTCCTGGGTTCAATCCCCAGTACTGCCATCAAAAAAGAAAAAGTTAGTTGAATTATAATTACAAGTATCAACATGGATGAATCATAAAACAATATTAAATGAAAGAACCAAGTCAGAGATGAATATATGCAGTCAGAGGCCAACTATGTAGTTTAAAAACAGGAAAAAATGAGATAGTACATTAAGTAGAGACTCCCACATATACAGCAAGTTCTAAAAGAATAATTAACAGAAAATTTAGGATAATGATTTCCTTTGGGGTAGGGGAACAGATGGTTGGGGTGGGACTTTGAAGGCCCAGTAATAACTGATTCTTTAACTGCATAGAGGATATATGGGTATTCATTTTATTTGTCTTAAAATTATACATATACTTTTTGTATGTATTGTATATTTAACAATTAAACAAAACTTGGCTTCTTAAGAAATAAAAAATAAATAAAAAGTAGAAAAACTGTCTTTCATTGAGATTATGAGATCAGAGGGGAAATTTGTGCTTCAGTGGAAAACTGTGCTTTGTGTAGAACATAGCCTTTTAGAGTCTAGTCATTTACTACATTTGAGCTGTTTTTGCAGCTCTGTACAGATGACAGAACAACGCAAAATAATTCTAGTCTACAGACACATTCTCCCCTTCTCTCCGTGTAAATAAGTATAGGCAGGTAAGTAATTTCTCCTGTCCTGGA